CTGTCGGGGGCCATTAACCTCATTACGCACGCTTAACTCGTTCACATCAAGGAACATGATTACCGGCGGGATGCCGCGATGACGGAAAGGTTTTTTTAAGCAAATTTTGCAATAATAAGAAAATTGCCATTCACATCGTTCGCTCTATATCTCATTTAACTTGAATTCCAGCTTGCCGCCGCTCTCACCGATAAAGATTATAGTGTAAGAAAATTGACTCGGTGAATAAATTTACAAAGTATACAAAACGCGCTATACAAATTATTTCCGGAATTTGTTTTTTCTTTTTCGCGCGGTTTTTTAATCGACGATGATATATATTTCACGAGTCTTCTCTTCTCTTTCACGTGATTTTCGCAAGAGTACGCATTAAATGATAAACTTTTAAAAGTATATTTTTTAATCAAAAGTTTACACACCTGTTCAATATGCATGAAAAAAAAAAAAAAAAACAAAAACAAAAAGTTACGTGCGACGTAACATTGAACGTGCTAATTTCGAACGACGTTGAAGCATCAGATTTTCCCGCGCGATAATCTCCGCGTCTCTCGAGCGCGTTTTTCAGACAGAAATAAAGGCCCTTTTGCCGAACGCCGGCGTACAAAATGAACAATAATGGGATATCGCGCGCGTGAAGATTTTCTTACGAGCGTCCCTCTCTCGAAAAGGGTCTCTCTTTCGTTGTCCGCGGGGTTCATAAACCGCACAATAGAACCAATGACATGCGCTCTCGTGAAACCCCGAGATGAGGCCGCGCGGGACGTCGCGGATGGCTCTTCTCTGCGTGTTGTCAAAATGTATTCGGAGAAACTCGGCGGGAATAAGAATGGACGGGACGGCGGTGCAGGTAGTACGCAAAGGAGGGAGATAAAGAGAAGGAGAAAGAGATGCGTGATCGATGTCTTATTTAAATAACTCCTCCCAACTTCTCAAAGTCGCTCGACGAGATCGCGTCATTGTTGTTGTATCGTAAATGAGAATGCGTTATTTGATGCGTATTTTGATAAAGAATTTCTGAGAGAGGGGAAGGATTTGTCCGCGAGATTAAAGAAACAAGAGAGGAAGAGAATAAAGAATTCTCGAGACGGTGATTTTTGAAGTCCGTGAAAAATAATCACACAATGCTGCACATTTTTTTCCGTTTAAAACTCCTCGAACTATCCGGAGTAATTAAGACGAACGCGCGTCATCGCGTCGTTTCACGGCGAGTGAATACGTATATGTGTGCGCGTCGGAATGACGACGAAAAACCGCGTGGTCTCCAGGTGGTCTCTCTTTCCCTGTCTCTCAATCTCTCTCTCTCTCTCTCTCTCTCTCTCTCTCTCTGCAAAAGGTGCTCTCGTAATTTCTTGCCCCGCTTTTGAAACCAACCTCTCTCCCGTCATTGCGCATCCAATGCGAAAAAGGTGCGCCGCTCGCATCGACAAGAAGAGCCCCCGGAATAACGATCGCTCTCTCTGTGTTTGCCGGTCTATATTTCGCGTATGTATACACAAACGGCTCGCTGCGTCGACTCGCTTGTTTATGTATTTATTCAATCATATTTGAATAATTGGCCACCGAAATAGGCCTGCCGCTTAATAAGCCAAAGCCAACTTGCCTCGTGTGATTAATGTGAGAGAGAAAGAGAGAAGCGGGAAAGAAAAGGGAGATTTGATCGATCGAAGACGAGGAGATTGTGGACATTTTTCTAAATGTCATTACGTTGTTCCTGACCGATTTTTCATAGCGTTATTATAAGCTCTTTCCCCGTATACTCTCTTATCTTTACGACATTGTAACGAGCACTTGTTGTACGGCAACTAGGAATGTGTATTTTTTTTTTTGTTCTCATCAAAGGCGGGGAGGAAAGGGGGACAAACAAATCAGAGACGAGCACGCCTGCTGAGCAAACGTTAGAGCGAGGACGACTCTCCAGTCGCGATAGAAAAATGGGCAATTTGATGAAAAACGATTTAGTGGATCGAGAACAATTGTTCTGTCGAGCACAACAGCGAAAGATAACGGAAAACAATGGGGATTACTTGGTGGGGGAAACAAATCGTGCGTTTCATCAAATTACTCGGTCCCGGATTTTTCTGTCGCGAAATCCATCAGAACTTTCCCACTCACCCGCAATACGTTCCGAGCGTGAGAATTATCATATCTTGGAGCGCTTTGTCGAAGCTTTTAAGAGCACACGAGAATATATTCGAGTCAAACATAAATTAACATAGTAAGCAGTACGCAATTTGGGTAACATTCTCGCGAAGAAACAAAATTATTATTATTTTTTTGCACTTTGTTTATGAAAACGCACCCCGATAATTTTGACGTACATTTCGAGATTTCTGTTTCGCGCTGGCAATGTAAAAACACTCGAAATTTACTAGTTTCCCATATGCGCCAAGCTTTGCATTTATTTTTTTTTTTTTTTTTTTTTACAATACCTATTGCCATTCAAACGTATTTCTTCTTTAATGCGCGTTTCCTCGTGATTGTACGGGGCACAATACGATTCTTTTTTCGGACTTATTACAGACGTAAGATAAAGATATGGATCGTGGAGTGTGTAATCAGTATGTACATCCGCTTGTACCGGCTTACAAAAGTGCATACGTGACTCGGCGAGTGTGCGCCGAGAGAAAAACTACCGAGATGCACCCGGTCTCGTTCTCTCTTTCTCTCTTTTTTTTTCTTTCTCTTTTTTTCTGCGTGCATATCGACAACTCGCGCGAGAGAACACGCTCTCTCAACATACTCTCAACGCGGATACTCAACAAGACCGCGAACAGCGCGGCGCGCTCCGGAAATAAAACGACGCCTCGCATACACACGACACCACACCCCCCATCGTAACTCGCAAAAAAATACACGGCGCACACGGGCGCATAATGCGTTCGATCCAAAAATCTCCAGAGCAAACGCTCCAATTACTTTCAGGCACTCTGGGATTTTCCGTGTTTTACATAATCGGAAACTCGTACAGGCAAAGCGCCCGTATTTCTCAAGGATGTGTGTGTGTATATATATGTGTTGCGTTCGTTCATGTACATGCAAAACGATTATTTAATAAACTACGCGACAGATGCGGCGCGATTTCAGATTAATTCCCGTCCTTCGCGCAAAAATATAATACTTTACCTCTTTAATTGATAAATAACAAGTCGCTCTTTACGAATCTCCTCATTTTCCGCGTCTTTCTTGATAAATATTCCGAGAATATCTCTCTTGGAGGGAAAGAAAGAGAGAAAGAGCGACGCTGCTATGTATTATAAATGACACAATGAGCGGTGTTTATGCGCTGCAATTGCGCGCAATTAAAATGCAGTGATTGAATACCCCGAGAGAAAAAAGAAAATTACATAATTATAGCCTGTGTATAAAACACGCGACAGTTTTGAGTGCAATTTTTTAAATTTTGCTAATAAAATCTCGATTTTAAACAATAATGTACGAACAGAATTATCGTTTTCTATATGTATTTTTGCTACAATATATTAATATATTACATGGTGTCATATTATATTCTGTTTTTTATATTAAAAACAAATGCGTTCGTTACAGTTTTGTTACAAATATATTTACATATTACATATTAATTACGACCTCTCTCTCTCTTTCAGACAAGATTCAAACACTGCCGCAGTTCCAGCAGAATATATTATGTACATTCACTTCGTGATTTACAAACTACATATTTATGAAAAGAGTGATAGAGAAAGAAAGAGAGAGCGAAAGATGTTAATAATATATAAAATTATGCCGTGATACTACTTTTGAAAAATGTCAACATGTTTGTTTCCAAGCACAAGTTATATATGCTCATATCTCATCACTTATATTGTCGAGAAGTACTCACTGGGTGGAGTGTGAAGTTAGCTCCGTCAGCCATAATGAAGTCAAGTGCGATCAGAGAGAACAGGAGTTTCAGGCGAGAGTGGCCGTCCGTGTGAGTGTCTCTCGTTTAACCGCGAAAGAAGGTCGCGTCGGTGCAAAAGACGTTAAAAATATCTTCGCCGCCGCAATATCGAACGAGTTACGCGACATTACCCGGCAAATATCAATCTCAAATAACTTACGCGACATTAACCGCGCAATGGCACACACGTCGTCTCGCGGTGACACGGTGCATCGCAAAAGACGCGCGCCGATTAGGACGTACGTTTTATAAGTCCTGTCGCACACGAGAGAGAAACCGAGTCGAGGATTTACCTTGTAGATCTTGTTCGCTGTGTTGTGTGTCGCCGACGAGAGAAGATCCCATACAGCACAGCAAGATTGCAGCAAGATTGCAGCAATATTGTTGTGCAAGATTGCAACATTGCAGAAACATTGCAAAATGTTGCAGCAACGTTGTTGCAGCATTGCAGCAACAGTAAAATGTCCGCTTACAGAAATGTTGCAATGTAACATTGCAGTATAATATATATGCAATAATATTTTGCTCCAATAGACATCTATTAAATGTCGTATAGAGCTGGTAATGTCCCCATACAGCACAGAACCTTGCAGCAACATTGCTGCAACGTTGCAACATTGCAGCTGCGGTGCAATATTGCAGAGATATTGCAAAAACATTATTTGGAAATATTATTCCAGCAATGTTGCAGCAATATCTTAAAACATTGTTAGAATTGCGTATTAATATTAGTGTGTAATCTGTGACTGTATTACAGATATAATGTCAGTTTTTCTCTGCAATATTGCACCGCAGTTGCAATGTTGCAACGTTGCAGCAATGTTGCTGCAAGGTTCTGTGCTGTATGGGATCACTCGCGTCACGCGGAAGAACCTTACTTGCAAATCACAAATATCACTTGCGCGCGATCAGTGCGTTAATCAAAAGAATTCGCCATACGGAAGCCTCGTTTGCGCTCGCGCGCTCGCGCGCTCGGCACACTCCGCACACACGCCTCGGCCGTCACCGACAATCTTCGGCCGCGCTCGGGCAGGCGACCGGCGCGCGCCCCGTGCCCCACTCAGCGCGCTCGCTCAGTGCTCGTCGTGCAGTCGTCGTGTCTTTATCCTTTTCACGGTTGGTCGGACGGAAAGTCACCCTCGAACAACCAACTGCCAATCGGCGCGTTGTTTATCGTCCCGTTCTCCGAAGGTAATCTCCTCAGACTATTTGGACGCGTTGGGAACGTCGGAGCGAGTGCTGCTCGCGCGCTCGGACACTTTATATTTTAATATCGCGACACTTTGCGAGAGGGTTGACGCGCGAAAGTTGCGATCAAAATTTGACGAATCGCGAACGATGCGAAGATCGCAACGAGGAGATTTCGAGAATTGACAAGCTCACCCGTGCGCGCGTTATTCGTATTCGCAACAAGTTGCGAGAGAGACTTTTTCCGCACCGATTCTTTTTCGCGTTTTTCTCGTTCGCGAGTGTGTGTCTCTCGTTCCTTGTAATACGTGTGTGGTTCGTGATCGGAAGACTCAAACGCGGTTGATGTTACTGTGAAAAAGAAGCCGAGAGAAACGGGAGAGGATCGCTTCTCTCTCTCTCTCGCTCTCTCTCTCTCTCTCCTTCAGTGATGGCATCTGTATCTTGGAACGTAAAACGGACTGTACTCACGAACGATCGCGTTCGAAGGGCATGTCGCGTGCCGTGATCTTCGTAGATCTCTTCTTCCGAGGATATCTGACGTTTAGGTAAGTACTTTGCGCTTTTTCTTATTTTGCGGAGAGAGCGAGGAAGAGATTGAACGTATGTGTGTGTGCGCGCGCGCGCACACACACGGACGGCAGGAGTATGATCGATGAGAAACATTATCGAGAGAGTAACAATTTGCATAAACGTTTGTGTAATGGGCGATATTTGGTGAAGTGATCAATACGATACCGGTCAATGCTTATCACATACGGGGATAAGTGAGAGATTAAATGATAATTATTAATGATTTGTTAGCCATTAGATATTCGTCGACTGAATTTGTAACCGTGTACATAAACGTTTTGAAATATATACGCAAGCAATAAATATATCGGGCAGTCTAAATTTCAGAACGACGTGAAGTTTGCGCATTTCTCGGAGCCGCGTGAAGTTGGTTTACCTTTTAAGCTAAAAAGTGAGTACATCCCAACTTCTCTCTTTCTCTCTTTTTCTCTCTTCTATCTTTTTCTGATAAATATTGCATTAATTGCTGATAAACAAAAATAAATTATACATACAATTGTAGTCTTGATGAAATGTGATACGAACAAAACATACATACTCAAGTCGCACGTTGACTTCAATAAGCGTCAGATTAAAGAAATGTTGGACATATTTTGTAAGTTTTGTGAAAAAACAAAAAAATTTTTTTGTAATTTGTAATTTGTTTGTTGTCAGTTACGTATTGTGGAAGGCTTCATATTTCCTGCACCCTGCCTTTTTAGTTTTATTACTTCTCGCCGACTGTCGAGCTCTTGCAATGTCTCGCAAGTAGCTATCTTGCCGACGACGGAAGCATGCACTGTTTGTTTATTTAGCCGATTGAGTCCTTAGCCCTTAAAAACAAAGCAGAGCGTTCTGGAGAAGAGAGTTGCGAGAAAGGAGTAACGAGCGTGTGCCTATCGGTCCAGAGTTGCGTTGCGAGCGAGACGACGAAGACGACACACGAAGCGAGACTGCATACACTGTATCTGATAGTGCTTTTTTATTCACAAATATACTTTTGACAACGAATCGAGTCTTGTGAGTTGCTCCAATCCTCCTTTCATATTACCATCCTACAGTATGTGCAAATTTAAAACATTTTTTTACAACATATTTTATCATGTGTACCAGACAATCCACTGATGATGACTACATAATAAAGTCGAAACGTTTGGATTAATACTTCAATAAAATTTAATTCATAATACCTCGCAACCGGTTCGAGAGCCCGTTAATCACGATTCAAAAAAATAACCACAGTCGGTCAACACACGAACATGGCAAGACATTTTAAATCTCTGACCTAAATGTGACAATTGTGACAGTTATATATTTAAAAATTTTTATTATTGTAACATCTACTATTGTGTTTCTGTGTACAATTGAAGAAGACTTAAAATAAAGTCGAAACGTTTTGTTAAAATCATAAACATGATGATTTACTGCAATACATCCTGCATTGGTTCCCAATAGCCGATTCACTCATCGTACTCCTTTGGAATAACCAATTGGAACCGGAGGACATTTCTCAATACATTCTTATCACATTGTTTTGAGCCTTTCGACTCACGAGACTCCTAGAGATATCATTGCCACTTTTGACTAGAGAGGATACGGCCTTAGAGGCGTTCAGGCATAATCCCACGGATGGTAGCTTCGCACCACCGGCCGCTCGACCGAGTGCGTGAACCAAATGTCCGAACCTGCGGTTCCTCTCGTACTGAGCAGGATTACTATCGCAATGACAATACATTCTTATCAAAAAATAAATTAAACTTTTCGAGGCATCTTTTTCAAAACAGTAATCAACTGACAATAAGAGAGAAAAGAGTAGAATTTAACAGAGTGGAATTGAATTTCCGTGGTACAAAAATAGCTCACAAACACATTTGTAAAAGGAACAAAATATCAAATTTATGTGCGATAATAAAATCATACTTTGGCACAGGTATGTGGCAAAGATTGCGATTTTTCAAAAATAAAAGAGCTATAAAAAACTCGATTTATATTAATTTATGTGCTGTGTCTCACAGACACGCACACAGCTTGTTTATGCAAAATTTAACACATTACCTTTCTCAATAACACGGAACAGTGACGCAAAGTCGAGCGGCGCGTTTCTCGTACGTGCGTCGTATACACAAATTTACCTTTTCTGTCATATTATTACATCATTAAAATTCTCCACTTCGAGTTCAACGTGCGTGATTCCGCGCGGGTTGTTATTTCGTCTCCGTTGTGTATATACATATACATTCGAAAAACAAAGACGACGCGCGCGTTCGCAATTTTTAATTGCAAAGCACGAAATTAACAATCGGCAGAGGGTAACCCTCTCCTCTCTTTCCGGAATGCGCCGTGTTTGACTTTGTTGCGTTCTCTCGTTCCAACACTACTTTCGCTACTTAACAATCATCATTCTCTCTCGTTGTTTTCCTTCGCTTCGCACAAACAAAAACCATCAACCGACCAAAAACTAAAAATTTTTAATTGTATCTCCAACGCGCACACGCATACTACATGTATGTTTCATATCGAACATGACGGGGCGATATAGTTGATGCGCGGGATGAGAACGGCGAACAATGAATCTTCCCCAAAAACACGTTTCGATGGTAACGAGTGGCTGTATAATGCACTTAGCGCACGTTTCAACGAGTGTTTGTCCGCAATATTAATCGGCACGATATGTGCGCGAGATCGACGTTCAAATAAAATAACATTATCAGATACAAATTGGATATCACATACATCGCGTTTTAGATGTATACTTCCATACATATCGGACATAGTTTGATTCTAGGTATGGATTTTGGATATCGCAAATATATATATATATATGTATATATATTTTGTATATATGTCGAAACAATGAGATGTTATTTGCGCTTATCTTGCGACCGCGCGGCACTTACTCCTTGCCGAATACGTGAATACGAGAATATCGGAGAAATATTGTATATATTGCGAGATCGTACAAGAATATCAAGTCATATAAATATTTCTTGCCTCGCCGTGTAGTGTGAGATGCGATTCTGCTCCTACTAAAATATTTATAAGCTATAAAATTGCATTACACATTATTCACATCATTACGCGTTGCAAGGTTGGAACTACCTTTTTAACGTTCGCAACGTTCTCCGCGCGAACAGTTTTCGCGCGTAACGATATCGCATATTAATTTTAATCATAATTCGCGTGTTTCCGAGACGCGACTTCCCTCCTTTCGTGTGTGTGTATCATAAATCATCACGCAATTTGAAGAATAAACACGCATCGTCCATTACACACAAACACAGTGCGCGTCGCATGCGGAGCGACTCGTCTCGCTGAAACGACTTCGCGCGCGATCCCAAAGAATTTTTATCTTTGTGAGAGTTTTGCGAAATTCCATCGCTGCTAAATCCTCGTCGCGCAACAAGGATCTTTCTTCGAAACGCCGGATCCCTTTTGGGAGTTCACATGCGATCGTTCACAAACGATCAATCGTACGCAATAACGCACGATCACACACGCACATACACATACACACACACTCACATACACTTACACGGATATATTACACGGGACTTAAATTGGGGCGCTTGTCACTCGTTGACTGGCAATTTTCTCGAAAAAAAAAAGGGAAGAGACGCGAGTTGCCAGTCACGAAAACAATTTGTGCCTTTGTGATCGGAAAGATGAAAGAATCCCACGTAAAAAGCCCGACGCGTCACGTAAAGAAATTATATACCTGTTACGGGGATAGGGAGAGAGGATCCCCCCTTTCATAATAGGAACCGCTGATTCCGCTCTTCTTTGTCGTGTAATTTTCAAATCCAATTTGTTGCCCAATGTATCAATCCTCGCGCCTTGATGTTTAATACGAATTATTAGCGAGTCGTTAAACTTCGCGATATAGGTTGAACGTTTCGTTGTGCTCTAATACGTGGTTTCTTCGAAAAAGTGGGAAAAAGAGACAATGCAAAAGAATATGGATGAGAAACGAAAGACATGAATTGTGTATATCGTAAATGCTTTACATTCGAGAATTAAAATATCTGTGTTGGAAGGTAACGTTAGACAAAACGAAATTTATATATGTATATATTGTATACTTCAACGTACAAAATCATACCTTCAAAGTCAAAGTTCAAGAATTGCTCATATGAGATGTAGATTACGCGCACCTACACTTTTACTTGAAAAAAACGAATATCCCTTTGCCTTCTGCTCTTTGCAGCGAATATTTGCATCGCTTTTATCGGTTTTATTCGCTGATTCGCGCATTTCGCATTTTGCGCACCGTGAACACTTTTTGCGGAGCAGGAAAAAACAAAAAAAAAACCAAGCATTCGAATAGTTCACGCACGTCTTCTTTTTGTCTGAACGCTATCAAATCCGATTGTGTTTCAAATCATCCGCATTAAATCTCGGTGCGAAATCAGTTCCAATAAAAAAATGTTAACGAAAAAGAGAGGATAGAGTAACCGATATACGAAATAAAGTAAAATGTTCGCGAGCGCGCTTTTCGCAACGGTGAAATTTCGCATTTACGGCGAGTGACGTACGTGTAATACATGTGCGCGCGCGCGCGCGCACGCTGCGCGGAATTCTCCGCTCATTATCGATCATTAAGTTCGTCTATTGTGTCGGTCCGGGGGTTTATAACCGTATCACGGACCAAAGAAGGTGGGGTGTTCGATTCTCGCCCCTCCGGTGACCGCCCGAATAGTTCGGTAGGTGCGCCGATGCATTTACATGGAAATCTGATGGCTGGGTAGACGATTACATTCCTGGCATTATGCTGTTTCATCGAGGGATTCTCACCGCGATCTGTCCTAAGAATCCCTGGCATTTCCCCATCGTATATCGCATCTAATTCGCGCGCTGTGATTTCCGACGTGAACACAACCGCCATTATGGCGAAATTCAGTAGTACGCGCGGTTCGCGCACTATTTTTCCGACGATATATATAACATGTCGTGTAAACACAACGCCGGTCAGTCGCTAGATATTTATCAGTCCGATACATCGAACTGATAAAAAAAAAAAAAAAAAAAAAAAAAAAAAACAAGAACAAAACAAATATAACATTGCCGATATTTATCTATAACTTGAAACGGGGGGAAAATATATTGTATATTACGGAAAGTCGAGCAAGAGATAAACCGCAAGGAGAGTTTGTAATCATACACACGGATGTGTTTGATAATGTGGCGATGTGAGAATATTTCTCACGTTCTGTGTTTCGATTTTTAAATTACTGAGCAAAATTTCTGAGGTTTTTATGTTCCACGTACATAAAGTTTTTTATTATGATACACACACAGACACAGATACACACGCACACTTGTTAAATAATATCTTTTGAAATGTTTGCTTCCGCGCGCGTGTATGGAGTTCCGATACTATATATTTTCACGACAATTTTTTGCGGGTGCTTCTAAAATAATACAATTTTCGCGCGAAACAGATTTTTTGCGCGTTATTTGCGCTGTTTTATTTTGCAAATTCGTTATTATAATTTATTTACACATTGTTTGCAGATTATTTTATTGCGTCGCGACACGCGGAAGCCGCGCGAAATGTCGAAAACAGCGCGAGATCTCGTCGCGCGCGCACCACCTTTTCCCGTTTTTACTCGTGGGAATTGCTGTAGCAATCGGAACATCGCGGAATCGGGCCGCAAATTTTCGGCCGGCGGTTTTCCCCGACCGAATGAAACCTGCGTTCTTTTACACGGACTGCTGTACGATGTGAGATAATGAATCGTAATTTATTGATTCCCTGGCGGTATCTGCTCGCGGGACGTGATTGAACCGTTAATTAGTCTCGAATTAAACGGCTCGATGCAACCCGGCTTGCAATTGTGCAATTTTGCAATGCAATTTCTCGGACGATGAACATCCTTCGATACGCCGCGCGTCATCTGTCCGTTCATCGTGAAAATTGCCGCTATTTTTTGTCTCTTGCTAGACTAGATGCGCAGTGGGAAGTGTAACGGGAGAATTAATTATTTATTTCTTTTAGTGTGTGTATGTGTGTGCGTGCGTGCGCGCGTGTATAAGTTTTGTTCGTGAGAAGTAATTAAAGAGACGCAATTATCTGTCAGCGGCGTCGATTTAAACCGCTCGATTTGAAGTAGTATTTGCAATTTCTTCCTGTTAATTGTACCGCGACGTTTCAAACAACATTAGCCATGGCCGTTACCATCTGCTCTAGTCGCGAGAATTGTATTTTAAAGCGGATAAGAAAGTTGATTACTTTCGGCACTCTTCCTTCCCCTCCCCTTAAAAACTGCAAGTTTCGAAAATTTCGCACTTTGCCCCATTTTTCGAAGTTGAGTTTGCAATTTCAGATTAGCAATTTTTTCGCGCGGCAATAACACAAAAATATTTCTTTCCTCCGTAAACATGGCGCGGTGGTTTTAAAATTATTTCTCTATTTACCTTGTTTGTGATTCTTTTCGTACATTTGCGCGCGTGGCATTTACGTATTTCGCAATTATAAAAATTTACTAAATATTACAATTGTTGCAATGGGATTGTTTGAAAAAAAAAATATATATATCGCGAGAACTCTTTCTCCGTTCCGTGTGTTTGCGCACGGTAACCTTACTTTTTCAAACTGTTTGTAATTTTCCAAGTAACTACGTTATAAATGACGGCGAAACTACGTCGCGAAATGCGTCCCTCGATAATTTACTTTAATTGCAACCGACAAACTTCCGTCGCACTTTTTACTTCTTTATGAACACACCGTTGAGTTTTATAAGAAGTGTAAGTTTTAATGCATTTCGGTGTGCGGCGTGTTCCTTTTTACCCCTCTCCCGAAAGCAGATAAATACAACAGTAGCGCGGAGAGTTTATTCAAATTAAATCTTTTTCCAAGAAGTCTTTTGTTCGTTTTCAAGAGGCGCGTTATTTTTCTTTCCAAGAGCAACACACAAACGACGCGAAAAGTACACGCGTTTTCCGCGTTGCGGAGACGAAACACACATCGCTTCGACATACTTTTTCCACGAACACAACGTGCGTGCGTGCGTGTGTGTGTGTGGCGAGCACAAAGAACGTCCTCAAAGTTAATAGAATCGTAGGACGCGAGAGAGATACATCACACGATATAAACGCGCGGGGGAACCCCCGATTATGACGTAACGCTGGTGGCGGCGGCGTCGTCGTCGCAAAGTATCCGGAAATAAACTTGTTGCGCGATCGATCGGCAAATAAAATAATAACTGGGACACGTAACTCGATTAAACGACGATCGCGATATTAAACGCCGATGGGCCGTCGCGCCGCGTCATTCCGCCGTGTCACAATCGACGAGCCGGCCTGTCGGTCGGCACGTCAAAAACTTGGACAAGAAACACGCTGTTGTCATCCACGATGGATACTCGCTGCGCGCTGGAACGATACAAATTTTTTTTTTCCTCCCCGTTGGTTTTTGCCGGTCGAATTATTTGCGGCGAAAGCAATTGGCGCGTCGCCGAAATGAAATATTTTTCCCTCGCATCGTCGCTCTTTTCTTCGTTTCTTTCGCAGGGAACGGAAAACGCTAAAAACAAGCGTTTTTCCTCGTTTTTGTGATAACGAGAAAAGCGAGCGTTTTCCGCGGATGTGTTTTCTTTTTTTTTTTTTTTTTTTTATTTCTTTAAAGAGAGAAAAACAGCAGCGCGATTACGCAGAATGCACCGCGTCAGCTATCGGCGGAGTTTGAGCGGCAGTGCAGGCGACGGCCATTGGAACTGCATGCGTGTCGCCGCTGCTGTTCAGGTGAGAAAGGAAAATCAGCAGAATAGTAGTGGCAGAGAGAGAAAGAGAGAGAAACAGAGAGGGAGGAAAGGGGTGCACTCGCGAGAGAGCGTTGTTGCACGAAATGGTTAACGCGTTACATTTGCAAGGGTCGCAATTTTCCGAAATCGCGATAACGCAGCGCGTTACGCCGCTTGCAAGCAAATTCTAGATTGGGAGAATAAACGACGTCAACCAGATAAACTTAAGAGTCTGCTATTAGCCGGTTGTTAACAATAATTGTTTTGCCGGTGAGAATGATTTTTTAATTGTTTTTTTATTTTTATTTTTGATATGTTGCTGCGAACGAGAAAAATCTTTAATTTCTCTTTGAAACATCTTGTAATTAACAAATTTTGCTCAACTTGAGATCAAAGTGATACATTTTGGGTCAATCCGCGTACTCCTGTTTGTGAGCGCGCCTGACGCGCGTTATCTAATTCTCAAAGTAGATCTCGCGCTGTCTCCACCTTATGTACTCCGTTTAATGTGAAATAGAATTTGACGAACGTAAAGGGGTTGGTTCACTTTAGACAGATTTCATTGTCAGACACATCTTGCGTTGCGCTCGATTTTATACGATGAATACAAAACGGAAGGGACGAATTTTGGGGAGAGCGCCGGTGTTTTAATTTGTTCTTCATTTCGACCCTATTTCTGCTGAAAACGTCGTCAGCGGAACGCGCGATTTTTCGAAGTGTAAACAAAAAAAAAAAAAAAAAAAAAGAAGAAGAGTTGGGAGTAAAAAAGGAAAGAGGAGAGAGCGGCTCTCGTGATTTATCGATGATTCAACGTGTCGACACGATCGTGTTCGCAGGTTTGACGAGGGAAGAACTCACGGCGAATGAGGAGAGTTGGCGGAAGGGCAAGTTCGGCGATGAGAGTTTGAGTCGGCGGAAAAGTGCTTTCAAGAGTGCCCGGGCCCCTGCTTCTTCCGTCAACTACGAGAGAGAGAGTGGAAGACGACGTGGGAGAGAGAGGTAAAGAGTGCGCTGTAAAAAAGGAAGCGGAGTGCGGGACGAGTGTGTCGCTGACACGAGTGACGCGACGTGACGTGACGTGACGTGACGTCGTCGGGGGCGTCGAGATGCATCGTGATGAGATGGTCGCCCCTCTCGGATCCGTCGCGACGCTCGTCGCGCTTCTCCTCTGCGTCTCCAGCAGCTGCCACGCCAGGATAACCAATCAGGAGATCGGTGAGTGGTAATTTGAACCAATTTAAACGCGCGGGCGCGACGATCGCGCGTATTTACATTTTCGTGTCATCGATAAACACAGCCGAGATTTTTATATTTTCTTTTTTTTTTTTTTCTGCAATCGGTTATTCTCAATTTCGCGGGAAATCGAACTCGTGACTTTTAATTTACACTATTGACGTGTCCCGGAGAAAAAAAAAAGAGTTAACGCGAACGTATCCCGTTTCGAGAGAAAGCTCGAGGGTCGAGAATCGTGGTCGCGCATATTCATGAAATATACAATTTTTTTTTTCAATATCGGTAATATAAATACGATCGGTCGTTGCATCATATTTGCAACATCGCGAGCAACGTGATATTGATTTGCGATACGGTTGCACGCGCGGTTTTTCGAAAAGGTAAACAACGGTGCTCCTGTATGTCCGGCGTTGCGTTTATTGGTGGCGCGAAAATTTTTTTTTTTTTCCGCAACACGCAATCTGATAAACGCGTAATGTAAGACACATATGACCAACACGCAGTTGGTCGTAACGCGTGTGTGTGGATCGTACTACGTTGCGTTACGACAACAAATCAGAGTAATTTAATGTCTCTGCGTGATGTACGAACTTGTAAATTAATTAAATGTGCAAAACTTATTCGGAAAATATTGTATATTGGAGCCGTCGCGCGTATGATATTTTCAACACGCGGCGGCGACAGAACAGACGCGAACTGCTTCAATGCGCGATCTCGCTGCGCGCATTGAGTAAATCTATCAGTTTTGTTAGATATATAGTACTGATGGAGAATTATTGCTGCATTGCGGTTGTGTTGCGAGCAGTTCGAAAACAGTATTACGGAAACCTAATCCGTTTTATATCCGTTTCCCCGACATTCATACATTACCGCTCTTCAACTCCGATAAGTATCGGAGCGATTCGCGCGATTCGAGCACGAGAAATAATCTCGAACGTCAGTTACAATTTTTTTTTCTCTCACGCCACATTTTAAATTACTTTTTTACTTCGCGCTACCAGCTAATTTGTCTTTGTCTTGGATATCGCGTGTTTGTTTACGTTTAAGATAGCGGAAGGTATGCGCGCGGAAAACCGCGGCTATCTTGCCGGAAGGAAAACAGCTAATGGGATCGCGTTGTGTAACTCGACACTCGGAACAATTTGCTCTCGTATCAATTTAATTTTTTTTTTTTTTTCTCTCGAATAGGTTTCGCGTCGCGTGGAACGTCTAAAACGATAAAGAAAGGAGAGACGGGTGAAAGGACGGAAAAAGATTTTTACGTACGTGTGTGTGTGTGTTTCTTAATAAATTTCGAGTCTCTTTACGTGGAGACGAGCACGGAGCACGCGAGTTTTTCGCCCGGGTCCGACATTATATTATCAATTTTCGCGGACTCTCCCCCGTTGCTTTGTGTACGTGCGGACAAAGCAACGTGTATATACTTTTGTTGGTAACGTGGCAATTGAATCACCCTCGGGTGACAAAAGCCGGCGGGTATGCCGACCGCGTAATTTCGTCCCTCGGGCGTGAAAATGAGGGGTTTTTAACCCATTTTACCCCACCGCGGGCTCTCTAACGAGATCGCCATGTCTCGTCGTTATTTTCGTGGACCATCAAGACCCCGGGCGTCGTGCTGCATGCGAAAAGAAAATGCGCGACCATCTTCCCTCGCCCCTCGAATCCTTCCCGGCGTGCTTCTCAGGATTTCCCTTTCTCACTTCCTCTTCCTTCTCCGCTGAAAATTATATCGTCGTTCTTCCGGAAAGCGTCTTTCCCATCGTCTTTTTCTCGTCGATGAATCATCTTATCATTTGAAACGCGCATCTTCGCGCGTTACACAAATTTCCCGAATTCGACATATCTTGGTTATAGAAAAATTTTCGATCCCGAGGAAGTGAAAAAACGGAGCGCGTGGCGCTTGTTTTGAGTTTTTTGTCGTAAGTTTCAACAACGACAATTAGCACGGATTGATACAATTTTAAACGATTTGGATTACCGCAAGGCGATTTCTCGAACGACTTTTCCGTTCAAAGCACGACGTGATTGCGTTTAAAGCTCGTCGTCATCGAATCAACTTGGTAGACGCAGTCAGATTCGTTTCGCGTTTAAATATTTACCGTCCGATCCGAGAGAGAGAGAGAGAGAGAGAGAGAGAGAGAGAGAGAGAGAAAGAGGTTTCTTTCTCTTTCTCCTATCAGAGGGAAACTCACGCGGCGGTCCCCTCGCCAGTAACAACAAAAAACAGCATCAACAAGAAAATAACCGAGCTAAATCGAGCCGGGAGAGTGGCTTATTCGCTCTCGCTAGTTGGTCCGCGCGATCAAATGACGTCGAGTGTATGTATGTGTTTTATTTAATGTTGAACGTGAAACGGAAGTAATTACGGCCAGACGAAGCGGAAAGGAGGAAGAAGCGACGAGATCGAGGATTTGCGAAGCTCCGACTAATTAAACGAGCGAACAGCCATTTGGTCTCGAACATTGCGATGATTGTAGATTAATTAAAATTGCGAAGAAACATGTCGTCTTCATCGGACGAATCGCACGATACGGGTATCTCTCGATATACTATCGCGAAAATCTCGACATCGCGCGAACAGACTCGAGAAGACTCGCAGAATCAAGAGACCCACAGAGTCGAGAGACCCAATGAAACGAAAAACGTGGGAAGCCCTAATGGCATCCCGCGATTTCGCGGATGAGGGAACAACTGCTGATTGCTGGCCCTCGAAGTTCGCAATCTCATTCCAATGAGATTGCGTTCTTGTTTTTTTCTTGATAAGCGATCTTCCCACACAACACGAGAGATTTTCGAAAAAGCGCGCGAATCCCAAAATTTGTATCGCGTGTCTCGCGAAATACGCGTCGTTAAGTGTTTTTGTTTCTGTTTTTTTTTGTTTTCTGTGATAAGCTTCTTCCCAACACTCCGTCGTGTTTACAGAAAAGGAAATTTGTAAGAATGTAAAAAAAGACGCTTGTATGCGATCTCTCGATAGAGAGACACGCGGCGGCGTGTGTGAGACTCTCTCTCTCTCTCTCTCTCTCTGACTTTTTGTCGGAAGCGCGCGACGTTCCCACGTCTTCTCGCCTGAAGGTTGAATTTGTCGACATACAGTGCTTGCGCAGTTTTTCTGCATTTTTCTTCGTGAAACGCGCCGTCAAGATGCATTAGACGTCGCTACGTCGGATTCTTCGCGAAAGTTTTCGAGCGAGGCGCGCGTTTTCCCGTGGGGAATGCCGAGGACCGCCAACCAAATGAGATTCGTTGTTCGCTGCAACGTTGTTCTTTGTTTTTTTGTTTTTTAAATCGAGACGAGCCGAGTTAATTTGTATATACCGCGGGGATATAGATCACGTCGCTTTTAATACATATTTCATGAACCGTAAGAAAACGATCGGAACGAGCGAATTATTTCGAAGAGAAGGATTTAAACCCCCGAGAGATACCCATCGATACATGTCGAATAGGTGAAAGATGAGAACACACGTGGGAGAATTTGTAAAAAATTCAAAGCCTCGAGGTTTTCCGAAAGTTTCGCGAACTACCACCGAACGAACATTTTCGCGATTCAAAAAAAGTCTCGGGTTTCTTAAAATTTGCAATATCCACGAATCACGTAGCGATCGACGAGTTCTTCGAGTTTTAAAGCGAACGAAGCATCGAACGAACAAATAATTAATTGAGTTGAAATCTCCATCTGTTTTTGCGTGTGAGAGATTAGAAATTTTTTTTTAATTATAAATTCATTTCGAAATCTCTTTAGAAAAAATCTCCAGAGAAAGTCACAAAACCGAGATATAGCTTAGAAAATTTCAAAAATTTAAGATAAGAAATCTAAGATACTTTCTGCGTTACATTGCGAGAAGAGCGACAAGAGTCGAGAGATGAAGTTCTGAAATTTTCTGCATCGTTTTATGCATTAGTACGTCTCTATCCTTGCCAAATAGTCGCGTGAATTATAACTCGAGCGACGTAACGCGGGAGAATTACAGACACACGGAATGAAATCTCGACGGCGGCGCGGTAGATTTAATTAATTCTTAGATTAGTAGGTCAGCGCGCGTTTCTCGGGCCGGAAGTAAAATACGTGTCGCATTTCATGCGGGCAAAAACTCTCGTTGTTTGAATGCGAGACTTCACTTGTTTGGCAACCGCGCGTTTTGGCATTATACACTGCGCGTCGTATTTTTCATTAGTGCGAAACGAACTTCTTGTCCTGCGCGGCGCGAAAAATACTTGGCGCGACGATAATTCACGTCGCGCGTTAAACGTTGTTACGCACGTAAAGCGCGAAGAAGAGTGTGTGTGTGTGTCGTATGAGTTTTGTGTTAATCGATAATTAAATATATACATTTTACGCGTTCACACATACACACACAATTCAGATATCAACATATTCTTTCTCGCTTCGAGCTTTCTTCGCGCGCGAAGCTCATTAGAAACCGGGGGAGACGACAGTCGAGACGACGACGACGAGTTATCGCCGACAAAAGAAATTTTCTCTCTCTTCTCTCCGAGATCGAATAATAGCATCTTCGATGTGCGCATGAAGATGACGTTTCCACGGATATCAGTCATTCGCGAGTGACTTGATCCGCACGACGTGGCGCGCGAGCAAAGTCGCGCACGGTTCGTTGATTCGCGCGATGAGGCCGTTGGGGGAAACGATGAAAAGTCGCGAGAAAATCGAAGTGCGAGAGAAGCGCCAACGTGTCTCTCTTTCTCTCTCTCTATTTCTCTCTCGGCGAAGGGGTGAAGAGGATAGTGGGAGAGGCAAGTTAGGATAGAAGCATCGGTGCGGCGCGGCTAACGTTTGTTTACGCGCGAAAGCTTTCGCGACAGAAGGAGCTTTTTGCCTGCCGTTCGTTAGGTGTAAGCGAGTGTAAGTGTCGGTGTAGCGTTAAATTTCAAGGAGAAAGGAATTAGTGGATTATCTCTCTCTTTCTCTCTCTCTCTCTTTCTCTCTCTTCCCGAGCGTGTGTTATCGCGGTCCATGCGAC